CAAAGAGAAAGGCACACACAACACATACATTTCTAGCCATTCTGAATTTCTAGCCATTCTAGATGGTCTTTCGTCAGCAAAGGATCCTTGCACTCAACATTCAGCCAAAACAAGGCTAGTGTTCTTATCATAGCACACCACACCCGCATAGAGACAAGAAACATTAACCACAGGACGCTCAACTCTCCTAAAGCCATGAGCCAAGCCCAAATCATGACTCAGAACTCTAGACCTCAGTCATTTCTCCTGCTCATGAAGGCATTCCTTTTTTGAACTGAAAACAAACTCATAAATAAACATCTCCTTCCTCAGTGCCCCCAAACAACTTGATGGACAGAGAACTCTGTATTTTATAGGAAATGTTTGCAGATTTTTATGGTAAGTTTCCAAAAATAAAAGCACAAACATTTCTCCTCACATATATTTGTTATGATAGCTACTGGTCCAAGCAGGAATACATATCATCCTGAAAGTAGAGAATGCACCAGGATCGGATCTTACCCATTTTCATAAACACCATGCAGCATAGTTAGCTCAGAATCCTACAGAGTCCACTTGACTTATCTATAGAGCTTAGACCCACACTGGTGCATCAGGGTAGTTTAAGGTTTGGGGAACAGGTTCCCTTACTGACAAATAGCATAATTAGGCATAATGTCTTAAGCGAACATATTAGCTCGGGCTTTTAACAGTGTGCAAGCCTCAGCTTCCGCAATAACAACCTAATCTTGTGTGGGAGCCGTCCCAGGCTTCACTTGAACATAGGCACTGTTGTCCACCCGCAGATAAAGCTTGGAATGGTTTTATTTATATCGTCCTCGTTAGTCATGCAAAACAACATTATTCTTATCTTCTTGGAAAGTTTAATTCATTAGCAATTAAAAACTGGGGCAGAAGAAGGGCCAGGCACCCGGAAAAGGCTCTTCCTAGCACAACACACCTCGAAAGAGCGGTTTGTGGGAGCAACTTTCACTAGTAACAGCACCGTGACATTTGCTGAATTGTTGCACAGCCTTGTTTTTAATAAATAGTTTAGCCATGTAAGGATTATGCCACTGTAATTAAATAAGATAATGTAGCCAACAATCTCTTCAAAGTACCGTGTTGAAACTTGCTGTCCTCAGGCCCTCTCCAGAGCCCATTCCTGCTGTCTGCTCCCTGCCCCCTTCCTTGTCTGTCTTGTTTTTAGGGGAGGTTGCCTCTGGGTCAGGTTCCTGTTGTTGTGACAAAGGCTTCTTAGGAGGAGAAATGGCTTGGCCCTAGAAGGTGGTTAAGGACTACAGATTGAGTGAGTCCTATTTGGAACAGGGATGGGACTTACAGTGTTCTTTGCCCGTCTTAAGGTCAGGGAACTTAAGAATAGCAAACCTGGACTACTGTGTCAAAAAGTCATGCTCAGTTGGGCCTGACGGGGTGCTCCCGTAGTCCCAGCTACTCCGTGGACTGTGATAGGTGGATAGGTTGAGCCCAGGAGTGCAAGTCCAGGTTGTGCAACATAGCAAGACCTTGTCTTTAAAAAAAAAAAAAAAAAAAGTCATGTTTAATGCAAGATGTTAATAATAGAGGAAACTGTGGGAGTAGAGGTAGGGTAGGGAGAGGGTATATGGGAACTCTTCGTACTTTCTGCCTAACTTTCCTGTAAACCTAAAACAATGCTAAAGGGTAGTCTATTATTAAAAACAAAAGCAAGTCAGGCTCACCCATGGCTCCGAGATGTGAGGGGCCAAGATTTACTTTTAAAAGACTTTTCTTCTTCTCCGTAAGAAGTTGAACACAAGGAAGCACTGAGATTTGGAGGGCTACACCCAGGACAGGGAATTAGAAACAAAACAGTTCCCTGGCTGCCTTCATTGGTGGCATTCCATTCATGTGGAAAGTGAGACTTGACCCGACTGAGCGGACCTCTAGGTTTAGCACCACTTGAGCTTTGTCTGACCCTGGAATAAACAATACGTCTACTCTTTAGTTTGGCATTGCATGGGCCAACTTCTTCCTTAAATATTTCACTTTCAACTGCTTAACTTTATGTAGGTCAGCCTCAGTGCTGTTGAAAAAAATTTTTGCTAAAAATAATAAACAGTTTTGGAAATAGATTACATCTAAAATAAATAAGGTTAATGTAGAATAATACATCTTAGGGCTAGTGGAGACTTCAGTTATCATTTGGTGCAAATTTTGCCTGCTCTTAAATAGGCATGAAAGAGTTAAATAATGCAGCCCTAGCAAGGCAGGTAGTAGAAGTTTTTTAATCCGAGCTGCTGCCCCTGGGGGTAAGAGGAAGAGATATTTGAGAGTCCAAAGCCGAAAGTAAATATAGAGTAAATTACTTCCACGTAATTGGGGAGATTATTTCAAGTACATTGCAACTTGGAAATGGATGGCTTCTTTTTAAAACCTAGGGTGACCTGTAGATCTCCCATCCTGGTTTCAAGGTGGCACCAAGGGAAGGAGCAAGTCCTGGCTTTCAAGGGCAGCTATAGCTGATATATTTTGTAAAGTCAAAGCTAACATCTCTAATATTTGCGTTACTCAGATCCGTGCAGTAGTTAATAGGAACGGAAATAGAAAGAGACATAGAAATGTGGCCAACAGAAAGACACTACCTTAAAAGTCTGAGCTGTAAACTTTGGTAGATGGAAAACAGAAAACTCTTTGCAATTAATATAATTGCCCTTGTTCAAGGAAATAGTCAATTTGATTTGAAATGGGGTGGAAAAGCCTGGGAAGGGATCTGTGTGAGACACCTAAAAGAATTACTGTACATTTTTCCACATAATGGGCCAATTTTCCCATTCTTTGGTTTTAGTGCTCCCTTTTATAGTCAGTATGACTATGCACCAATCCTATTTCCAAGTGGTCATCTTTCTAATATTTGTCTTCTCCTCTTTTTTTTTTTCTTTTTCAGACGGGGTCTCATTCTGTCACTCAGGCTGGACTGCAGTGACATGATTATAGCTCTCTGCAGCCTCAAACGCCTGGACTCAAGCAGTCCTCCCACCTCTGCCTCCTGAATAGCTGGGACTATAGGCATGTGCCACCAAGTCCAGCTAATTTTTAAGTTTTTTGTAGAGATGAGGGTCTTGCTATGTCACCCAGGCTGGTCTTGGATACCTGGCCTCAAGTGATCCTCCGGCCTCAGTCTCTCAAAGCTCTGGGATTACAGACATGAGCCACTGCACCCGGCTCTGTCTCCCCTTGCTGTGTGGGTTGGCTCTAGAACAAGAGAATCCTTGTTGAGATTCATGGCTGCCCACCCCCCATCACCTCTCTGACTTTGGACAAGTTGCCTGGCCTCTCTCAGCCTTTATTTTCTTTTTTTGAAATGGGGATAACAATAGTACTTGCCTCATAGGCAAAATGTTGTGAGAACTAAATGAGAAAATGCATGTAAAGCACTTGGCACTTAGTTCTTTTTATGATTATGATGATAATCACACATAATAAATTATTTCTCACATCACATGCTGTTTAGCCTATTCACTGTTCTATTTTTCCTGAAATCAGTTCAGTGTGTAGCACCCAGAATTGAACAAAACACTCCCGATGTGACCTGATAGTGCAAAGTATACTATCATCTCCTTCATTTTAGGTTTTATGTTTCTATTAATGCAGTCTAAAGGTAGGATATGAGTTGTTTTGTTTATATATCTTTTTTTTTTTTTTTTTGCAGGGATGGGGAATGACTATCTTCAGTAAAACTGCTCAGTAAAATCTCTCCTATTGTGTGTTGTGCTTTAATATTTAGTTTTGGATACTAGTGCAGGATCTTAAATTTATCCCATTACATGTGATTTCTTTAGTGTTAGTTCCTTTTCAAAACTGTATAAGCCATTCATTCATTCATTCATTTTAGAAAGTCAAACATATATTTATCATGAGCCAGCACAGTGCCAGTTATTTGCCATGTTCTGAGATTTTAAACATTCATTGGTGTTTTAATTGTGCATGATTTCTATACCTTCCTCTGAATTGTTGTGTAACATGTTTGGATAATACAGAGCTAAGGGCACAGGCTAAGAAATATCTTTAGAAACTTTCCTCTAGGCTTACCAGCACCCTCAGGGCACTGTCATTTAAATATTATGAATTCATCTTGTGTGGTATCATTTGGTACAAATTATTTTCCAACTTGACTAGCAAGAAATCTTGAGACTTTCTCAGAATTCTTGTTCAAGTCAAGATTCACTATATCTTTCTAGTCACCTAACTCAATATTCCTGTCAAAATAAGATGAATCTGATGTGATTTTTTTAAAAAAGTGAAATTAGGCTGGCTTGTTTCCTAATGGGCTCAGAGGACATATTCCCATTCCAGAACTTTGAAGAATTTAAGTGCAAACAACACAGTGCCTAAAGCATGTCAGCTGTCTGTTTCGGATGCTCGTCCTACCATGTGTAGCATGGTGAAGACAGGAGTCAGAGGTTGGGAAGTTTAGCTGGGTGAAAAAGTCTGCCCTAGGGCATGCCCTTCCCACTGCTGAGGAGCAGTTGCTTTACATTGTATTTGACCTAGTTTTTGTAAATATTTCTGCCTTCCTGGGTTACTTGTGATCATGGGGCATGGACTTACTCATCTCTTGTAATTCCAATCAGTGCATGACACATCATAGCTGATCCTCAATTATTTTTTAAGTTAATGTACACAATTTGTCAATCGAATGCCTAACCTATTACAATTAAGGAGAGAGAATACTACCCCCTTTCAGCCCAGGTGTATGGCAAATGGAGATGTCTATAGGTATTAGGACATCCCTAGAAACTTTTAGAAAGGCATTGGAGGAATGCCTCCTTAAACCGTGTGAAACTCCAGTGATTAGCAATGGAGTCTAATGAATGAGAGGCAGTACAATGGCTTTCTCAAAATATTGGGAAATTCGTGATCTTTTTCTCTCCTTTATCATTCCTAGGGTTTTGGAAGTCTGGATTGCAGTGGGGCATTTTATGTTAAAAAATCATCTTCCCATTCTGATCTTTGCAAAAATTTTTCTGTTCCTTAAACAGAGTAAGAGATTGCAGATTGCTTCTGTGGACTTATTGAAGGTAAGTATTATCTCTTAATATTTGTATCTCCAGTGTCTGGCACATTGCTTGGTGGTGAGGAGGAACTCAATAAATGTTTGTTGGGTGAGTAAGTAATATTTGTGAAAGTGTTTTGTAGACTATGAAACTGCACAAACGAAAGATCACAAGGATGATTGCTTACAAAGCTCAGAAATTGAAGTGGAACTCTTTTCTTAATGTAATACACACATACACTTTACACATTTTCTCTTTGAAGAGTGGCTGCATTTTTTTTTTTAAATGGAACACTGGGCTACTTTTAAACACTGAAATCAAAATGTACATGCCCACTTTTTATTAGTAGTTGCTCCATTTGCTCTTCCAGCTTTGGCTCAAAAACATCTATTTGTATACTTAGTATCACTGTCCTTGGTTACCTCCATCCCTTGCCTTCTCACCCATCTTTAGTCTGCCATATGGTCTTGACATAGATTTTCAACTGTTAGACTGTCAGACTTTCAAGGATGCATTTTAAGAAATCAGTTTCTTTGAAAGCACTTGAACCGGAAGTCAAATGGCATGATGTAAACCAATAGTTTTTCAATGAAGAAATGAAAACCCTTGATAATTACAAATAAGGAATCTAACCTATTGACACCAATTTGGTTGTACTGTATTGATTCCTGCAAAAATATTATGAGAGAGTGGGCTACTTATACTCTACTGATCAGATTACAAGTATACTTAGTAAAGACAGAAGTAGTATAGGCATGAAAGAGTTTACCTTAAAATGTCACCTGATGTTAGTTGTCTCTCACTGATTCTAGTAATTTCCTTTATTCAGGTGGATCTGGCTGTTGGTGGAGATCCCTAGACTGCGTGAGGCCATGGGCATGATCTGGAGACACAGCAGGTGAGTCCAACATGTCAAGGGCAGATGACAATGAACAGAAAAAGCTGGTCTTGCTACTTTCTCAGTAACAGTGACTAGCAGTGTGTATGAGGAGATCAAAATTCTAAAGGTTCCCACAAATTTCTCAGTTTCCTATTTAGGGCTTCAGGTCTTTGCAGATAATCTTCCAGATATGGTCTTTGTCTGTTTTCCTTATTTTTCTGTAAACTGGTATAAATGAAGGTGGGTTGGGTCGGGTAGGTGGGGCTTTGAGGCCTTCCATTTCATCTGAGCTAGATGTGCCAGGAGGAGGCCCCTGAGAAGCTCAGGCAGTTCCACATATGCCAGCTCCCACACAGCTCAGCAGGACTTGACAATGATTGCACTGTGTGGCTTTCATCCTTCTGGGCAATTGGCAAATCCAAAATTTCTAGGTAGAGGGGTTTAGGGTGGCACTCTGGAGAGGAGGAAGGATCAAGGGCATTGTCTTGAAGCTGTTTTGCCTAAAAAGCACCACTTTTTAACTTGGCTTGAATGCTTATTTTGACATATCTTGGAGTTAAGTACACAGAAATTTTGAAGAGGAACCCTAAGGAAACTCCAAGTTACCCCTGGGTGTGGCCAATAGAACTCAACTGTGGTAAACACTTCAAAGCCTCCATAGTGTTGTATGAAGCATGGAATCCCTCTTCTGAGGGTCTGAATTCACCCTCCAGGGAAATGTTTTTCAAAGTGTTGCCCTACTGAACCATGTAATCAAGAGTCAGGATGGGGTGGGCTTCTAGTGGAGGAGAGCCTTCATCTGTAATAAGCATCTTGGACAGAACCAATGCATAATAAAGTCTGAAACCACTATCCATGGAAAGAACCTCAAGACCTCTTATCCTTCTGATGTATGGAATTTCTGAATTTTTTATTCCTTTGTATCTCCCAGGGGCATTTTGGAATATGAAGACCTCCACTAGATTACTTTCCCCATTGTAACTATGAAGTCTGTTTCTTTTTGAGTGAATCAAATTATCAAAGGGCACCCCTCAAAGCCTTTCATGCTGCATCTAATGAGGAGCTCACTTACATTTATAGTACACAGTATTGGCAGTCACCCTGGGCAAAATAAAAACACGACAATAATATTAATACCACATATTTGAATAATAGTCTATGATTCACAGTTACATAATTAAATTGCATGGTTAAAGTCATAGCAAATTCATAGTTAAATCTCATCAATTTTTATGATGTACTGTCAGGATAAGGCCATATTATTTCTGTTTTACAGATGAGGAGTTTGAGACTCAGAGAAAGCAATGACATACCTTAGGTCAGCTGACTAGTGTACACAGAGGAATTTGCTTTCAAGTCAGATATTCCAACCCTAGTCCACTGATGCTAACTCATGCCATTAGATAGTCTCCCAAGTGGCTCTCAGGAAGATTTGTTGATATCAAATCACCTGAGTTCTGACATTTGTTGTCCCTTTGGGAAAATCTCCACTTAGATTGCCATGGACATCCACTTGGTGAGTGACAGTTTTCTCTAAGGGAAGATGCTTCTTAGTTGATCTTGCTCCACCCTTACCTGCCAGCTTTACCCTAGGCCTCAGCATTCTTGATACAGAGCGCATCCTCTCCTATCTTGCTTGCCATTGTATTGCTCATATCAGGGAGGGTGTGACTCTAAGATTTCACAAAAATCCTTTTTCTCGTATCTGATTATGCCATGTTTATAGACACACTGTAGACATGTTATGATATTTTCTACTTCTTTGTTTTAATCATCTTGATTTAATCCCTATGAGCTCATATTCCTTCATTAATGTCATTGAATTAAAAGAGGAAAAGGGATTTTGGAGGATTATGCTGGATTTCCCCAAAGACAGGCACGATAATGGTCCACTCAGCCTCTGCTATGCCCTTCCTGTGGCAGGGACACACTATCAGGGAATGCAGCCTGTAATAACTAGACCCCCCTCATTGTCACATAGGTCTTCCTTTTGTTCAACTGAAATTTTCATCTTTTCCCTTCCACACATTGGTCTTTGTCTTGTCCCTGTTCATGTGAAAGTTTTTCAAATATATGAGCCAGTCATCATGTAGCATTAAAGTTATATAACTGGAAGTTGTTATGTTCTGAACCATGTCTCCCCAGATTCGTATGTTGAATTCCCAACCCCCAGTGCTTCAGAATGTGACTGTATTTAGAAATGGGTTTGCATTAGTTTGTTTTCACACTGCTATAAAGACATATCTGAAACTGGATAATTTATTAAGAAAAGAGGTTTAATTGATTCACAGTTCTGCAGGCTGTACAGGAAACATGGCTGGGGAGGCTTTAGACAACTTACAATCATGGTGGAAGGTGAAGAAGCAGACACATCTTCACACGGCTGGCAGGAAAGAGAGAGAGCAAAGGGGGAGGTGCTACACACTTTCAAACAACCAGATCTTGTGAGAACTCTATCACGAGAACAGCAAGAGGGAAGTCAACCCCCATGATTCAGTCACCTCCCACCAGGCCCCTCCTCCAACACTGAGAATTACAATTAGATGTGAGATTTGGGTGGGGACACAGAGCCAAAGCATTTTATTCTGCCCCTGGCTCCTCCCTAATCTCATGTCTTTCTTACATTTCAAAACACAATCATGCCTTCCCAACAGTCTCCCAGAGTCTTAATTCTTTCCATCATAAATTCAAAAGTCCACATCCGAATTTTCATCTGAGACAAGGTTAAGTCCCTTCCAAATATAAGCCTGCAAAATCAACAACAAGTTAGTTACTGTAAAGGTAAACTAAGGCCATAGCCGCACTGGGAACGAAGACACAAGGCAAATGGCAGTGAGAATAGCCTTTATTAGGGCTTGCGGGCAAGGTTCCTCGGTCCAAGGGCACGGGCCGAGGAAGTCGTACTGAGGGAGGAGGGTAGGGACCTTTTATAGCTCGAGCAATGGGGAAGTTGGTTGTGCAAAACAAGTCCTGGGGGGTCTTGAAACTGCAATGTCACGAGGAAGGGGTCTCTAGAAACTGTTTAACCGAAATTGCTGTTTACAGGTTTGCAGAAAGGTCGCAAGAGAGTGCAGCTGCCTAACCGAAACTCTGACGCACGCAAGCCTGTGGGTGTGTGTAAGGGTGAAGGCCGGGCCTAGGTCCTTGCCTAACAGTTACTTCCTAGATACAATGTAGGGTACAGGCATTGGGTAAATGCTCCTATTCCAAAAGGGATAAATCAGCCAAAGCATAAAGGATACAGGTCCTATGCAAGTCTGAAACCCAGCAAGTCAGTCATTAAATCTTAAAGCTCCAAAATAATGGAGCTTAAAGCTGTTGGTGGATTTACCATTCTGAGTCTGGAGGATGGTGGCCCTCTCCTCAAAGCTCCGTTAGGCAATTCCCTAGTGGGAACTTTGTGTGCAGGTTCCAAAACCATGTTTCCCCTCCATACTGCACCAGGAGAGGGTCTCCATGAAGGCTCCGCCCCTGCAGCAGTCTTCTGCCTGGACATTCAGGCATTTCCATACATCCTCTAAAATCTAGGTGGAGGCTCCCAAGCCTCAACTCTTGCCCTCTGTGTACCCACAGGCTTAACACCACATGGAAGCCATGAGGCTTGCAACTTTCACCCTCTGGAGCAGTGGCCTAAGACATATCTGGGGCCCTTTGAACCATGGCTGGAGCTGGAGCAGCTGGGATACAGGGAACTATGTCATGAGGCTGCATAGAGTAGCAGGGCCCTGGGCCTGACCCATGAAACCATATAACCCTCCTATGCTTCCAGACCTGTGATGGGAGGGGCAGCTGCAAAGGTCTCTGGAATGCCTTGGAGGCATTTCCCCATTGTCTTGGCTATTAGCATTTGGCTCCTCTTTACTTATGCAAATGCAGCTGGCTTGAATTTCTCCCCAGAAAATGAGATTTTCTTTTCTACCACATGGCGGGGTGTAAATTTTCCAAACTTTTATGCTCTACTTCCCTTTTAAACGTAAGTTCCAGTATCAAATTTTCTCTTTGTGCATGCATATGATTGTATGTTGTTAGATGCAGCCAGGCCACATCTTGAATGCTTTGCTGCTTAGAAATTTCCTTTGCCAGACACTCTAAATCATCTCTTTCAAGTTGCAAGTTCCACAGATCTCTAGCACAGGGGCACAATGCCACTAGTCTCTTTGCAAAAGCATAGCAAGAGTGACCTTTACTTCAGTTCCCCAATAAGTTCCTTATCTCCATCTGAGACCAGCTTGGCTATCTCTGTCCATATTACTATCAGCATTTTTGTCAAAACCATTCAACAAGTCTCCAGGAAGTTCCAAACCTTCCCTCATCTTCCTGTCTTCTTCTGAGCCCTCCAAACTGCTCCAACCTTTGTCCATTACTCAGTTTCAAAGCAACTTGCACATTTTCTGGTTTCATTATAGTAATGCCCCACTATTTGGTACAAATTTTCTGTATTAGACCCTTCTCACACTGCTATAAAGACATACCTGAGACTGGGTAATTTATGAAGAAAAGATGTTTAATTGACTCACCATTCTGCAGGTTGTACCAGAAGCATGGCTGAGGAAGCCTGAGGAAACTTACAATCATGGCAGAAGGCAAAGGGGAAGCAGGTACATTTTCACATGGCCAGCAGGAGAGAGAGAGAGCAAAGCGGGAGGTGCTACATACTTTCTGACAACCAGATCTGGTGAGAACTCTATCATGAGAACAGGAAGGGGGAAGTCCACCCCCATGATTCAATCACCTCCCTCCAGGCCCCTCCTTCAACACTGGGAATTACAATTAAACATGAGATTTGGATGGGGAAACAGAGCCAAACCATATTAGGGTCTTTAAGAGGTAATAAGTTAAAATGAAGTTATTTGGGTGACCCATAATTCTATAGAACTGATGCCCTCGTAAGAAGGGGAAGAGACACCAGAAGTGCCAGCACAGAGGAAAGGTCCTGGAAGGACATGAGGTAAAGACAGCCATCTACGAGCCAGGGAGAGAGGCCTCAGAAGAAACCAAAGCCACAAATACCTTCTCTTAGACTTTCAGTCTCCAAAGCTGTGAGAAAATACATTTCTGTTGTTTAAGCCACCCAGTCAGTCTGTGGTACTTTGTTATGGCTGCCCTAGTAGATGAATTCAGTAGTCAAATGTATATGACTTTGAAACCACAGAGAAAGGTGAGATTATCTGGCTAGAGATCCAAGGTGAAAGGGGTGGAGAGCTATGGGGTAAATCACTTTACACAGTGGGTATAGGAAGAAGGGCCTCTGAATAACACAGAGAAGAACTGAGATAGAACAGAGTTAAAGACGACAAGGGAAGACAGAGTTCTTTGCTTCTTTTATTTTGGGTTCACATCTCTTAATCTCGTGTTTACTTTTGTCAAGGTCATCCTCAGAATTTACACTCTCTCTCCTTTTGTGCCCCCATGGACCATTAAGAAGGTATAGGCTTCAGATCCGAAGATTGGTCACCACAAAATTCAAAGGTAAGTGAAAGGGTTTATATTAGTGTCACTGAATCAAGGGCCAATCTCAAAATTTACTTGGGGAATTTTTCAAAGTGCACATTTATTTGACATACACTATGAAATTTCATTTTAGTATAGATGTGTGGTGGGATACTACCATATATTTTGAAAACAAACAAAAAAAAGTTCCCCAAACCCACAGAATCCCCAGGTGTTTCTGATGTATACATTGATGGAGATAAACTAATCCAGATGAAAAGACAAATGCATTTTTTTCTACTTGCCTGGAAATAATGCCAGATGATTATAGATTTCAAACTTCATGGAAAATTGCAATGTAATGTTTTGTTAATCTAGCATACACAGTTTATGTTTTCTATTCTTATTACTTTTAATAATAATTTTTTTTCTTTTTTTTCAGAGATAAGGTCTTTGTTGCTCAGGATGGAGTGTAGTGGTGCCATAGCTCACTGTAACCTTGAATTTCTGGGCTACTGGCATACACCACCATGCTTGGCTAATTGTTTCTTATTTTTCGTAGTGACAGGGTCTTACTGTGTTGCCCAGGCTGGTCTCAAACTCCTGACCTCAACTGATCCTCCCACCTTAGCCTCCCAAAGTGCCAGGACTACAGGCATGAGCCACCACGCCCAGCCTACTTTTTTTTTTTTTTTTTTTGAGATGGAGTATTGCTCTGCAGCCCAGGCTGGAATGCCGTGGTGTCATCTCAGCTCACTGCAGCCTCCCATGTTAAGTGATTCTCCTGCCTCAACCCCCAGGTAACTGGGTCTACAGGCACCTACCACCACCCCCAGCTAATCTTTTTTCTGTATTTTTTTTTTTTTGAGATGGAGTCTCACTCTGTCATCCAGGCTGGAGTGCAATGGCTCAATCTTGGTTCACTGCTACCTCTGCTTCCCAGGCTCAAGCAATTCTCCTGCCTCAGCCTCCTGAGTAGCTGGGACCACAAGCACCAGCCACCACACATGGCTAACTTTTGTATTTTGAGTAGAGATGGGCTTTCACCATGTGGGCCAGGCTGGTCTCGAACTCCTGGCCTTGTGATACGACCACCTTGGCTTCCCAATGTGCTGGGATTACAGGCGTGAGCCACCGTGCCCGGCCTACCAGCCTACTTTTAATGGTAATTTTGAAAATGACAGTTGACCTGGTAGTCCTTGGGGATGTTTGTGTTCCTCCTTCCAGCAAATTGCCTTCCTTGGGCAACAGGCACTGCTCCTCTCTCATGTGTCAGAAAATCAGTCTGAAACTAGCTATCAAAGCGTACAATAGTCTGTCATGTTGACCATCACATTATTCTTTGTGACTTGGGAGAACTCCCCTGTTTTCTCAAATCTCTATCTGCTGAGAATTAGGAACCATTTCTATACAATAAAGAACTACTGCTGGTGAGGCGCGGTGGCTCAAGCCTGTAATCCCAGCACTTTGGGAGGCCGAGAGGGGCAGATCACGAGGTCAGGAGATCGAGACCATCCTGGCTAACACGGTGAAACCCCGTCTCTACTAAAAAAAATACAAAAAACTAGCCAGGCGTGGTGGTGGGTGCCTATAGTCCCAGCTACTGGGGAGGCTGAGGCAGGAGAATGGCATGAACCCGGGAGGCGGAGCTTGCAGTGAGCTGAGATCCGGCCACTGCACTCCAGCCTGGGCGACAGAGCGAGACTCTGTCTCAAAAGAAAAAAAAAAAAAAAAAAAAAAAGAACTATTGCTCACTAGAAAGTATATTCTACTTTCCTGTGGAAGAAAACTTATGACATTAAACTTGTTAAAAAGCTGTTTTCACAAGGTCAAATAAAACCAGTCTTCTCCATCTCCCCTCCTACCTCTATTGGCTCAAGTATGAGCAACTGAAGGATACCACACTGCAAAGGAGATGTTGGGCTTCAGGCTGAAGCAAATCTGGGCTAACCAGAGTTAATAAAATTCTTTATTTAAAAAAATGAATTGTGCCACTCTAACTTAGATGTTTCAGAGAAACAGTAACACATTTTTTTAAACCGAGTTCTTGAATTTTTAAAAAACCACTGCTCCTTTCCTTTTGGGTAAGTGAGGAGGCAACAGGGTCTTGAGAATCACCAGGACAGCCAGACTCTGTTAGTTTACTTTCAGGTGAATACACTAGGTTCTGAGTAGATAGGCAGAGCTACTATACACTATGCCTAAAACATCACAGTGGAAAGGTGTGTGTGTGTTTGCTGGGGGTGGAGGGGCCTAGTCCTGAGATTTATCAAGCCTACCTTGTGGGTACTGACTTGACTGGTTCATCTACTTTAGGGATGATGAGAATATACTCCCCTGCCCCAAATTATATTTTATCCAGGTGCCATGGTGTCTGACACTCCATCTGTAATGGTTAATTCCTTTGGCTTTCTTTCCTGCTTTTAAAATGAACATTCTCTTGGTTTGTGCAAAACACTAAACTACTTTACGAAGGCAGATATGCTAATGTAGGAAACCGTGTTGCTTTCCATTGGTTGAAAAGGACTAGTGGAGCTGCAGGAAGCTTGGAAGTTCATCAGTAGGAATGGAGGGAGGCTGCCAAGAAGGTGAAGGGAAGGAGAAGGGCCACAGACACAGATTTTGTCTACTTGGGAATTTTGAATGGGATTGACCCTACCACTCAGTAATAGTTAAAAATGAAACAAAACAAAAAACAAGGTTTTTGAAAGTTGTTTGAATCCAAGTGTACTATTTCAATAATGGAACTGGGCAAGACTTATAAAGCTGGCGTAGGGAAGAGTGATTAGGATTGCAAACATAAGCATGAGGTGTAAATCATGACATTTATTTGGGCACAGAAGCCAGATCATTAATGTTTGAGGAGCACCTTTCGAAACTCAAATGTAGAGGGCAGAAAACAGTGTTGGCTTTCTACACTATTTCTCTCTTTTTGAGGGAAGTCAGAGAGTTGAGTTATGAAGCATTAAAAGATCATTTTATTCCCATATTCAATTTTCTTCTTTTCACTTAGAGAAAACCTTTTAGGCCAGACACCATTGGAAGTGGCCCTGGTTCCTCCAGGTTTAACTCACCGGCCCCTAATTTCTGCTGGACCTTCATTTCAGTCGACTGTGTTTCAGGAGGGAAGTGATTCTGGTGACCTCACTGTAGGGAGACAGGAGCCTCTGGCAAGTTACCAAACTGCCAGCCTATTGTACATGAGCGAGGCTCTTCGCTTTGGCAGAGGAAAGCAGTGCTGTTGTAGGTCAACAGTCAATTGTGTCCCGGAAGTCGTTAAGTGCATGGGGCATTCTAACCACTGCTGCTGGTGGAGAGACCTGGCTGTCGCCTGCATCTCACCTTCAGAATGTGGCCCTGATTAAGCTCTGCAGGTAGAGTTCTGGTTTCTGAGAAGGGTACAGGGCCTGAGGACATGCTGGTATTTCTTCCTCATGCCACTGCTGACGACACAGAGAAGGGTGTTCTGGCCACATTAGCCAGTTATTGGTTCCCCAAATAACTTTGGTTTTAGACACCTGACTTGACTCTGTGAGTGAGTGGAAGGCTGTTTTCTCTGACTGTTTTTGCATCTTGGCTTTCATGTCTCTACATGAACATTCAGCCCACAAATTTCTGTTATCTAATCAGGCGCATCAGTCTGTGATGGAGATGAGAGGGGAGGAACACCCCTTTGACTCAGATTTTGCACAAACAAAATTCAGTCTTGTTAGCAATGGCAGGAAGAGTATTCACGGCTGCTCAGATCAGATCTTTCCCTGACAATCTGCAGGGCAGTGGAAGTGGGTGAGGAGTTTTTATGGCAAGATAAGCAATTCAAGGGCCCCAATTTGGTATACTAAATAAAATTAAAATGTCAATATTTACACATGACCTTCAAGGCTCTTACACTCTTGCTTTCTTAGTATTCAGTACAGACTGCATTTTCTTTAGTCCGTTACCAACAGCTTGGAAATTCAGTTAGAGGACATAACCCAAATGTTCTCCAAATGTTACTTCCAAATGGTCATCTTGAAAAGTGCCGTTTTAAGGCATGCAACCTTTCTGCACTGAGAGAGGCCTGTCGCTCTGCCTACCCAACTGTAGGGGAATTATCCAAAGATTAAAACCACTGATGATAAAGATAGTGCCATGCAGCATATTTTAATTTG